ACCCTCATGCCTCGCGGTTTTTTTTTCTATTTTTTTTTTCCATACAGTAGAAATCAATGGTAACAAACGGGTTGGTTACCTGCAAAGTCAGGTTTGGAATGACATGAGGGTGAGTAAACGATGAAAATGTCCATTTTTGTGCAGACTATCCCGTTAATCTACATTGGAGGTTGCTTTATACCGCCAAACTCCTCAAAAAAGCTTAAAGTCACCCTGTAGTCAAACATTATCCTTTAAAACTCATCTTTGATCATCAAAATGACATATTTAAATGTTTTTTCTTGTGAAAACAAATTTCTCATGCCTTAAAATAGCTTGAATGCAACTCTACCCCCTTGCCTCATTTACTATACGCGGATCTATGAATACGCAAATTATTCCCGCCTCCACTGTCACACAGCAGCCAGCCATGAGTTAGCGCCTCCTGAACTGTACTGAACTGTAGTAAACGCGATGCAATGGCAAGTGGAAATATTGGTTTAATTAAGCCATATGTGTTTGAACCAGAAATAAGCTGGTATGCTCAACGTAAGCAAGGAGACTGATGGCTAACTTCGTGAGGTAACATTATCTGTTTGCCCTGGTTCGTACACGGATAATGACTGATAGCAGACAACTACAGTGGATACTGTAACATTCGTTAAATTTACTTACTTGACAATGTTGTGTCCTCAAAATGCCTTGAAGACTCAAATGCAGCCAAGTTTGTGATTCCAAATCGCGCCCGTGATCATACGTGTGTGACGTGCGGATGTCAATGCGGGAGAGGTGCGTCTGTCTCCGGGCTACTTTTACACTGCTGCCGCAAGTTATTATTCAAGTTAGCGGTTCTAAATACAAATAAATAAGCGCTAACAGCACATGACATCGTGAAAATAGGGGGAAATATTAACAGTTGGCGAAACATCTACAGAAAAAATATAACTGTTACCGGATTGACCTGGCTGCCTTCTCACTAGACCCTCTGCTTTGCAGCACAGTTAATGATATGCTAAGGATAGGATCCCTTGACGCGATTGGTTATTGAGTTTTGTGACATAGCAAAACAAAGGCTGTTTCAAACCGCGTTTCTGTGACTGCCTTTGGGAAAATACTCAGCAATGGTGTTGATAAATGGATTGGCACATGGTTTGTCTAAAAGCATATTAAAAACAACACATAGACAAATAAACAACATAAACTTGATTTTCACCACAGGGGGACTTTAAAAAAAAATTAAAATAAAACATTAATAAAGAGCATTCATTTTTGATTGCTAATATAATATATTTCAATCATATCTGTCGTGTATCCAGTATTTGATCTGTTTTATTCCCAAAAATAAATGATTTTGTAGTATCCGTGTCAATAAATGAAGTGATTTGACTAGCAGAGGCGATCTGTTTGTCTGTGGTAGTGTTAAGGTAATGTCAGTTTAATGTTTGTCATGTGTTTCAGGTGAGTCGTCTGCCTGTGGAGAGCTGTTCTCAGTACAGCAGCTGTAAGACGTGTCTGGGCTCAGGAGATCCTCACTGCGGCTGGTGTGTCCTGCATAACAAGTAAGTCAATGTCATTCCTCTTCCACAGACTAGAACAGTTATTCTGCACACTAAAATATGCTTGCTATGTCTCAGGAAATAAAGCATTACATGGTGTTTAAGAGGTCGGTTGTTTGTGTACATTAAAATACAAATATAAATGGAAGGTTTTGTGACATTTGTGACTATCTGAATGTAATTACAGACCTCATGAAATCGCTTAATATGCAGTTTCAGTTCTTCATATTGAAGAGTGTCCTCATTTTTAGCCAGTATGCTTTAGTTTTGTCACTGCCATGAACTGTGATTAGCTGCTGATCGGTTGCTGGAAAGGGACATTATCATTCCTAGTGAGCATTTGATTGGACAATAAAATATGTAGTGCAGGATGAAGTCATTAATATTTTTGCCAGAAGATGGAGACTGTAAAATTTAAATCCAAACACTAGGTTTAGGTTAAAAATCATTTTTAAATGTTGTTTAAATGCTCACTGAAGCTGTGCTTATTTGATTAAAAATACAGTAAAAACAATCATATTTAAATATTATTACAATTTAAAATAATAGTTTTCTTTTAGGATACATTTTAAAATGTAATTTATTCCTGCGGTGCAAAGCTGAATTTTCATCATCATTACTTCAGTCTTCAGTGTCACATGATCCTTCAGAAATCATTCTAATATGCTGATTTAGTGCTCAAGAAACATTTCTTATTATTATTATCATCAATGTTTGTGGAAACTGTGATTTAAAATAGAAACATTTTAACATTTTAAGTTTTGGAACATTCTAAATGTACTGTCACCTTTGATCAATTCAATGGATCCTTTCGAAATAAAAATATTAATTTCTTTTAGACTTTTGAAAGGTAGTGTACGTGAGCTTATTTTGAGTATTTTAAGAATATGCTAACATAAAAAAGCCCTCAAAAAAAGCTTCAGTTGTTGTAATATTTGAGATTTAAACATCCAATCAGATCGTACAATTGTACATTTTTAAAGTAGAATTACAAACGTGTCTGTACTTCGTCACCTTCCTCTTGGGATTCACTTATGAACTCTTTAAGACACCTCCGGGAATTCTGGAGCCCAGCCAGCCAATCAGAGCGCTGCGTCGCTGGTGGCTGCCATTTCAACTACCTCATGCAGCACTTGGCAGGTGACAGGCCTCCCCACATGTTCCCTAGTCTTTTTTCCGCTCCCGTCATTTCTGTCTCTTACCTCCGGTTGATCCCCAGGCAGCAACTGGTCATGGGGGCCGGTTACTGCCGTCAGGAAGTGTCTGGCTATTGCTGGCTTACCGCCACCCCATGCTGCCTATCCGCTGTCATCAGGGCTTTCTGCTCCCTCCTGTACTGGATGAACTCCCGTCAGAGAGTGGGCTGCGTTCAGTCAAAGCCGGGGGAGGAAAAGCATGCGTGATCGCTGAACACGCTCTTTAATTTATGGAGTGTTTTCTGGAAAGAGATGGGAAAGGTTTTGACATAAGTGTGTGTTCGTGGACCGGTCGAGATCGCGCCATGGGGGTGACGAGGCCTCAGGGTACGTATTGTCACTGGAAGTTTCTACAGAAATGAAAAACATTGTTTTTTCATCTGTAGTAAGAGGCACCGTATGGGTTCAGTAACACACATTGGATCCAGAGTCAGCTTTCGAAGCATTGCCGAGCTTTTGACAGCGGTGATAAAGTTATCCAGAGGTGATAAAACAGCTTTGTTCTACCTTCCTGTAGTACTGTGAAGACCATTATCGAGTTTTACATGTCTACAATGTGATCCATCTTTGTTTAATAAAATTTTCTTTCAAAAAAATATATTACTACTGACCCCAAACTTTTGAACGGTAGTTTAAGTTAATTTTAAGTATTTTAAGAGAATGCTAACATAAAAATTAACTATTAATTTTATAATTGTGCATTTTTAAGTATAATTACACTAGTAAAACACTTTGACAGTCAATCTTATCTTCATTACAAACGTGTCTGTATTTCAGCTTTGTTTTGCCTTCCTGTAGCTCCACAAAGACCATTGTCGAGTTTTATATGTCTACAATTTAATGCATTGCACTAAACGTAAAAAAAAAAAATACTTTACTGAATCTAAACTTTTGCATGATATAAGCTAATTTTGAGTATTTTAGAAGTACGCTAACATAAAAACATCCTGAAAAATGATCTATTGTTGTAAAATTATATCTTACCGGGTTCAAATATTGCTCATCCAATCAGTTTTGCGTCACAGCTATTAATCCAATTAATTCAATTTTGCGTCACAGCTAGTAATTTTACAGTTGTGCGTTTTAAGTACAATTACACCATTAAAAGTCTTTGACTGTCATTTTATGTTAATTACAAACTTGTCTCTATTTCAGCTTTGTTTTGTCTTCCTGTAGTTCCACAAAGACCGTTGCCGATTTTTACATGTCTACAATTTAATGCATATTTGCTGAATAACATTATTTGTGAAAAAAATTAAAAAAAACATTACTGACCTTTAACTTTTGAATGGTAATTTATATAATTTAATTTGGGGTATTTTAGAAGTAACATGAAAGTGACCTCAAAACTAATAGAAAAACTTACAGTAATTGTTATTTTATTTTAACAGCTTCAGACATTGCTCATCCAATCAGATTTTGTCACAAATGTTAATTTTATAATTGTGCATTTTTAAAACCAATTGCACAATTTGTTTTTGTGATCAACTGTTTATTGTCTTTTAAATATGAACAAAATAACATAATCAGAACAAACATGGAAGAAGGAATAACAGATATATTGTCAATAATTTGACAGTCGGACAAGAAGACCAATTACACCATTAAAAGACTTTAACAGTTATTCTACAAGCATTACAAATGTGTCTGTACTTCATCACAGATTGTCGTTGGAAGCTTTATCAAAAAAACGCAAAAATCTGCGAAAACTGTACAGTGTGAGGTACTGTGTGGGTTTGGTTAAGTTGGATCCACAGTCAGCAGTCGTAGCGTTTCCAAGTTTTTGACAACAGCGTTTAGATTCAGATAAAGTCATCCAGAGGTGATAAAATGGCTTTGTTCTTTGCGGACTCAAAACTAATAGACTAAAACCCTCAATTGTTGTGATACTTCAGACATGGCTCATCTAATCAGATTTTGTGTCACTGAGTGTGCATATTTAAAGTACAATTACACCATTAGAAGAATTTGGCAGGCATTCTACATTCATTACAAATGTGTCTGTACTTCATCACCGATTGCCATTCGAAGCTTTAACAGAAACACAAAACATTGTCTTCTCTACTTGAAATCTCTACAGCAAGAGGCAACGTATGAGTTCAGTTACACAAATTAGATCCAGAGTCAGCATTCAAAGCATTTCCGAGCTTTTGACAGCACCGTATAGACACAGATAAAGTTATCCAGAGGTGATAAAGCAGCTTTGTTCTTCCTGTAGTGCCTTGAAGACCATTGTGGAGTTTTACACGTCAGAGAGAAAAAAAAAAAAAAAAAACTCTGTTCCAATCTATTTTCCACCGTCGCCATACCTTCAACGAGATAAAAATCTTTAATTAAGATGTAAATCTGGGATTGATGGAATAATTAGCGCAAGCCTTTACCACACCCATTGGAAAATGACATTTGTTTGCATATTAATAACATATCCCCAGACTTTACATGACCTTGTGTCAGCCGCTGCGCAGCGCAATTAGCAGCAGATCAAGCAAAGCAATGGATTTAATGGCTGACGTGTTCATTGAGCGCAAACCCCGTTTCTAAACTCCAAAGAGCCTGACCTTTGACCTCAACCGGCTCGTCACTCGCCCGGCCACAGTTTCTTCATGCTCAGATGACAGATGTGTGAATGAAAAAATATGATACATAGGAGTCTGACAATACATCGCTCCGCTGTCTGCCGTGTGGCTTTGTGGAGTCGATGGAAACTGTTTGCTTTGACAGTAAAAAAAAAAA